ATATTTTTCTTGTTTTATTTATTTTCCTTTCAAAATCATTTTTTAAATTTCCCCTTTAAAAATAATCAGGAATTTTGTTTATCTTTTCAAAGAACCAGCTCCTGGATTTATTGATCCCTTTTTCTTTTAGTCTCTATGTCATTTAATTCTGCTCTGGTCTGGATTATTTCTTTCCTTCTACTCGTTCTGGGCTTTGTTTGTTGTTTTTCCTCTAATTCTTGTAGATGTAGGGGTAGGTTGTTTATTTTTAATTTTTCTCTTTTTTAGGTAGGCCAGTCTTGCTATGACCTTCCCTCTCAGGACTTACTTGGCTATATCCTATAGGTTGTAGACTGTTGTGTGTTCATTTTCATTCATTTCCAGAAACTTTTTGATTTCTTCCTTGATCTCATTATTAACTCATTCATTGTTTAATAGCATGCTATGCAGTCTCCATGAATTTTAATGTTTTTGAGTTCTATTTTTGAGGTTGGTTTCTAGTTTCAAGCTGTTGTGATCTGAAAAAATGCTAGATATGATTGCAATTTTCTTGTATTTGTTGAGGCTTTTTTTGTGTCCTACCATGTGGGCAAAGGATCTGAACAGACACTTCTCCAAAGAGGACATATAGAGAGCACATAGAGATGTGAAAGAATGCTCAACATTCACTAGCCAGAGAAATGCAAATTAAAGCCACAGTGAGATACCATTTCACACCAGTAAGAATAGCCATCATTAACAAATCAACAAACAAGTGTTGGCAAGGATGTGGGGAAAAAGGAACCCTGGTGCACTGTTGGTGGGAATGCAGACTGGTATAGCCAATATGGAAAACAGTATGGAATTTCCTCAAAAAACTAAAGATGGTACTGTCTTTTGATCCAACGATCCCATGGCTGGGGTTATACCCTAAGAATCCTGAAACAGCAATTCAAAAGAACCTAGGCACTACCATGTTCATGCACAATTTATAATAGCCAAGTGCTGGAAACAGCTGGAGAGCCCATCAGTAAATGAGTGGATCAAAAAACTGTGGTACATTTACACAGTGGAATACTATGCAGCCGAAAGAAAGAAGAAACTCCAACGCTTTGTGACAGCACGGATGGAGCTGGAGAGTAATATGCTAAGTGAAACAAGCCTGGCAGCAAAAGACAAATACCACATGATCTTGCCTATAAGTGTAATCTAATGAACAAAACAAACAAATGAGCAAAATAAAACCAGAGATATGGAAATAAGGAACAAACTGACAGTGAACAGAGTGAGGGGAGGGAGGAGAGGGACAATAGGGAAAAGAAGGAGAAGGGTCACAGTGAAGGAACATGTATAAAAGACCCATGGTAATGGACAAGAGGGTGGGGGCTGACTGAGGGAGCAGTGGACTGGATGGGGCAGGGGAAAGCAAGGGGGCAGGGGGGCGGGAATTGGAACACCAGTAGTTACAAAACAATACAAAATAAAAAAACTTTTTTAAATTATAAAAATGATCAGGGAAATGTAAATTAAAACCACAGTGAGGTATTACTTCTCACCTGTCAGAAGGGCTATCTATAAATTAACCAACAAGTGCAGGTGAGGATGTGGAGAAAAGGGAACCCCTCTGCACTGTTAGTGGGATTGTAAATTGGTGCAGCCACTATGAAAAACAGAAGGGAAATTCTTCAAAAAATTAAAAACAGAGCTGCCATACAATCCAGCAATACCACTTATGAGTTTCTATCTAAAGAAAATGGAGGCACTGATTCATAAAGATATATGCATCCCAATGTTCATTATAACATTACTTACATACAATAGCTAACATAGGGAAGCAGCCTAGGTGTCCACTGATAGATGACTGGATAAAGAAGATGTGGTACATACATATATATGATGGAATATTACTCAACCATAAAAAAAGAATGACATCTTGCCATTTATAAAAACATAGATATATCTAGAAATTATTATGGACCAATACAGTATAATTTCATTTTTATGTAGAATCTAAAAGAACAAAACAGATGAATAAAGAATATAAAATAGAGAAAGACTCACTCATAGATACAGAGAAGAGAACAAATTGATGGTTGTCAGAGTTGGGGAATGGGCAAAAACAATGAAGGGGATTAAGAGGTACAAACTTCCAGTTATAAAATAAATTAGTTATGGGAATGTAATACACAGCATAGGGAATATAGTCAACAACATTGTAACAGCTTTGCACAGTGAGAGATGGCTACTAGACTCGTATTGGTGTTCACTTTATCAGGTATATAAATGTTAACTATGTTGTACACCTGAAACTAACATGTCAACTATACTTTAATAAAAAGAAAATAAAAGTAGACATCTGATATATCCACTTGTACCACTTTTTTCTGTAGACATGATATTGCTGGATATCCTTTATTTTCTATGAAAATATCAGTCATTTCATCAGTGAGTTTCGTCTGTAGTATTATTTTCATAATCACTTACTATGTGTTAATTAATCATTAACATTTACTTATTTCTGCCATCTCAATTCCTGTTCTCTATTTTCAAATATCTCTTCTTTTTTCTCTACTATTTTCTACTGAATGGGTCAAAGTTACTTCTGCAAGCTGTGAGTCTGTGTCCTATTTTTCTTCTCCTTGTGGTTATTCCTAACTTATTAAAATCCATGTTTAGGTTTGTTTTCCCCCATCAATTTATAAACTTAATCAATAGGTATATCTCCTTTGCAAAAGACGCCAATCACTAGCATGCTTTTATTTCTTCCAGTCCTCCACCCTCCATCATTCCATTAGTTTTTTTTATATTCTAGAATTTGATATTAGACCATTATACTTTTATTTCCCTTAGGAGATTGCTTATTTAGACAACAGATCTCACTAAATTGCATACTCTCCAGTAATTCTCATATCAAGCACCTTCTCTGGAGTTGTTTATCATTTTGTTGGAATAATTTATCCAAGAATGTTTACAAACTAGTCTGTATAGTATACCTCCTGAGGAATTTTATGCAAAAAAAAAAATCTTTATTTTGCTCTCACATTTCAATGAAAGTTCAGTCATATATAAAAGTCTAAATTCAAGTTTCTTTTTTAACAAATATTTTGGAAATATTACTCTAGTGTTGCTATTAAGAAGGTAAGTGTGACTCTAATTCTTATTCTTTTTATAGATAACCTACTTCTATCTCTCTGGAATTGTTTCTATTTTTTAAATTTCACTTTAGGTGTCAAAGAGTTGATATTTTCCCTTTAATTTCCCTTGATTTGTACACAGTAATTTCATTCAATCTTTTTCTAATTGTGGGGAAACTTTAATTAGCAGTTCTTCAAGTATTTATCTTCTGTTTATTTTTTTCTCTTTTAGGGTCCCTATTAATCAGATGTTGACAGTTACTCTATTTTTTTTACCTTTTAATTTTTCTCTGATTTTTCTAGTTCTTTGTTTCTTCTTAATGCCTCTGGGAATGTTTCAAAACTCACTTGATCTCATTAATTCACTCATCAACTGTATTTATTCAACCTAGGACTTTTTTGTTTCTATTACATCTGATTGGTTTGTTTTTATAACTTCTTGTTCATGTTTAATGTTTCTAATGCCCTCTTATATGCTCTTGAGAATATTTATTAGGCTTATTCTAAATTCTTTCTCTAGCTCATTAGCTCTGCTCCCTTTAGAATTCATTGTTCAGTTTGTGATGTCTCCTTTCCAGTGCTTTACTTCAGTGTTCATCCGATGTCTCTCTCTCTTTCCTATTCCTTTTGGAGTATTGGCTATAGTTTATACATTAAGTTCTCAGTTCCATCCATATCCCACTTCACTTTAGAGGATTCTCTAGAATTAGACTCAACAGAGGAAAAGCACAATTTCTTTAAGTTCTCCATCTCGACTCTACTATAGCATAAACTAAACTTGCTGCCCTCAAGATTTAGTCTGATTAGACATGGTTGTCTTTTCGTCTTCAGTAGAATTAGACTACATCACAGAATCACCAAACATTTTCCATTTGTTTATGGAAAGAGTTATAGTTTTCCAGGGTATGGGAGGTATAATAATGGTTCAGAATGGCAAAGAACTATGAAAAACATAATTATTTCTAAAATTTCTTGTAAACTTAATAGTTTGTGATTGTTGCAGTGAATCTTATTTTTCCTTCCTCCTCTTCATAGACCTGTATAACATAATTTTGTATTTCAAAAATTATCAAAATTTTGTCTTGAAGATTTCTTAATTGAATCCTATCAAACCCCCAAGATGGGTTTTACAAAACCTGTTTGGATACTGCTGATCTAAAAATATAATAGAAATTTGTTTGGTATGTTCTGCAGAATTATTTGTCTTGCTTCCATGTTCTTGCTACAACAATATTTGTATCTTGCCAGACTCCTGTATAGATATCTAGCTTTTTCTTTTCATTTGGCATTCACTTATTCAACAAATGTCTGTTGAACACTTGCCATACTATTCTTCTAATTGCCAGGTGCCCCCAAGAAGGACACAGTCCCTGCCTTCACAGAGCATTACAGTCTAACAAAGACTCCAGATTGAATATAGATTCAGTTAGAGCAGAGATTTTTTTTCCTGTGTTGTTTTCCTGTGTTTCCCAGGTACCTAGAGCAGTGTAAATATTGGTTTAATGATAAATAAGTAAATATTGACATTAATTACAAATATGTTAAGCATTATGGAGGGAAAGTAAAGTTGTTATGGAGTATATAAATGAGAGGCCTTACCTTCTCTAGGAGATCATGTAGAATTAGTTCTCCAAATGATAGACCTATTTCTTTAAAGTGCTTTTGCAGGCTCACTTAAACAATCAGTACTTATTTCCTATTCATGCGACTCCCCTATTATGCATGAAGGCTTGAGCCACCTTGGATTTTTCAATAATTGATTTCTGTAAATGAGTAGTTAGATGAATTGCTTAATAATACCCTATGTTTATAGAAATAAAAGAAAAATCACAGTTTAATAATGTCAATTTGTGTTTCTTGCTTCCTGCCTGCCTACTCCCCCACTCCATTTTCTTTTCTGACTTGCAGCTGAAGGAGCTTCTATGCATCCATGTGATGATACATACTGTGGACCTTTCCCGGAATCTGAGCCAGAAGTGAAAGCTGTAGCTAACTTCCTTCGAAAACACAAGAGGCATATTAGAGCTTACCTCTCCTTTCATGCATATGCTCAGATGTTGCTGTATCCCTATTCTTACAAATATGCAACAATCCCCAATTTTAGCTGTGTGGTAAGTATTTGACCCCTGCACATGTATGTTAGGTTTCGTGCTTCTTTTATAATACTAAGATGATGATAACTAGTCATGATAATAGCAAACATATATTGTGTTTATTCTAATAAACACTTTGTATATGTTAACTCATTTATGTTTATAATCATGTAAGATGAAAAACTATTATTATCCCCCATTTTACTGATGAGGAAACTAAAACCTAGAGAAATTAAATACTAATTAGACTAGGAACACACATCTGCTAAGCGTCACAGCTAAGATTCAGCCCCAAATCTGGCTCCAGTGCTATTGCTTTTAACTAGTGTGCTCTGCTGCTTCTCAAATGCAATCATTTCAAACCTATTTACATTCTTACCAGAGGTTATACAGAAAATGTCAGGATGAATTTGATGAGTATTACAGCTTCAGTCACATGTGCAGAGCTATGATTAACTTTATTGAATAAACAATTGCTCATAAATTATGGTCTGACTCTCAATAATTAAAAGCAAGTTTTAATTTATAAGTGCTATTTGCTTAATGCTACTAAGTCTCTGGGCATGTATTTGACAAGTTAGTGCTAAGAATGAACAGCCCTCCTGGCATAAGATTACTTAAAAATGAAAAAGTAATGTTCCTTTCTCTCCTCATCTCAATAGCCCAACAGGCTCTCCCGTATAGACATAATTCCTTCTGAAGTGGGTCTGGTTCAGAGCCTATAGTACCTAAAGGCTTATTAAGTTCAAAACCAGAACAAACTAATATAGTGTTAGAGATAAGGAAGAGGGAGGGAGCAGTGGTTGAGAAGAGGCACAGGAGGGCTCTTGGGTTGCTGTTGATGTCCTATTCCTTGACCTAGGTGGGATTACACAAGTGTGTGCAATTTGTGATCATTCATTGATCTATAAACTTAAAATTTGTGTAGTTTTCTGTATGTATGTTATACTTGAATTTAAAAGGTTTTATAAAAGAAAAGGATCTCCTTTCTCCCCACACCTTAAACTCTAAGTCCTGTACTAGTTGCTTGGAGTTGTAGGAATTCCTGATCTAGATGTTCAGGACTGGAAGGAGTAGGGAATGTGAAGAAGTCAGAAGAAGGCCTGGGGGAAGGTTTCTGTCCAAAAGAAAAATTTTGTTCTTGGCATTCCAAGCAAGAATTCTGAGCAAATTCTCTCTCTTGAGAAATACTGTGAATGAGGCCCTGGCCAGGTAGCTCAGCTGGTTAGAGCACTGTCCCAATATGTCAAGGTTGCAGGTTCAACCCCTAGTGAGGGCACATACAAGAATCAACCAATGAATACATAAATAAGTGGAACAATAAATCAATGTTTCTCTCTCTCCCATCCTCTCTCTAAAATCAAAAAATAAAACTTTTGAAAAATAAATACTATGAATGTGGTAGTTGATTTGACAGTGCTATTCTTTAGCTACTCTGAGGGTCAAATAGGTTTTTGTTGTTATTGGTGTTGGTCTAGCACCCTAACCACCTTGTATTACCATGTTTCTATAGGCAAACATCTAGTTCTTTCTAAATTGGACACAATGTCTGCTTATATGGGCACAAAACATTATATGGAGTATGCAATACATTAAAACTATTATATGGGAATGTTCTCCATAGTTTGGATTCATCTTCCCACTAGGATCGATGCCTATTTTCTTTTTTGCCTTGAAGAGTAGATTAGTTTTTCAACCAAAGATGGGACATTGGACAATGTCAGAAACATTTTTGATTGTCATAACAGGGCTGAGGGATGCTATTGACATCTAGTGAATAGAGGTCAAGGATGCTGCTAAATATCCTACAATGCACAGAACAGCAAAGAATTATTTAGTCCAAACTGCCAGTAGTGCGACTATTGAGAAATCCTGTTAGTGAGTTATATATCAGCTAAATCACTGAAACCAGGATTACAATTCTCAGAAGCTAGGTAGTCTCTGGATGTCAACAGAAACCATTAAATTCTATTAAAATTGTTCAAAAACATTCCATCCACATGTAGGAGTTTATATTTCTGCTAACATTTTCAGGGCATTCATCAAGTTGCTTTAAATATTGAAATATTTAAATAAAAAACATATTCTTTTCTTGGCTGAGGTCTGATAAGTGAGGTCTGGGTCCTTCTGGACAATTGGAAAGAGGAAGCAATGGAGAAAAGAGGAAGCACTTACACTCTCTCAAGTAGGTATCTAGCTGTGCTAACCAGAAAAATAATTCTTTAAAAAATTTGCTGAAGTTTCAGTTTTTTTGTGGAAGGATATATCTGAACCTCTTATCTACATGCACCCACACCAAGTGGCAGAAGTGCAGTGAGCTGAAAAGCTTAAAACAATGCACATGTTTTATGTAAATAGAGAAGATATATTTTTGTTTTCTTAATAGATTTTTTCTGTTGGGTTTAGTCACCCGAAATGATGTGAAACAAAGGTCTCCACACCAGCAGAACTCAGTAATCTCCTAAATGTATAAATATCTGCCCTTGCCATGGATAAGATGTTAAAAAATTAGAACATTCTCCATAAAGATACCTCATTATAGTGTTTTCATTCCTTTTCTGTTGGCTCCTGAGAGGAAAATGTCATCATCATTAAGATCAATAAAAAATTGTCTGCCAGGTTCTAGAGCCTGGTCCATGAATATCCACAAAGGGTGGCATTTGCTGCAAGTGCTGCTTGATGCCTCCCTGAGGTGAGTGAGGACAGTAAGATGAAGCTGGGTCTAATACACAGCCCCTGTTGCCCAGAGTGCTTCAACTGACATACTAAATTATTCATGGGCAAATTGAAATGGGAGAGTTGTATACTGGTTTCAACATACTTCTTTACTTCTCATTGGTCATACAATACTTCTCTAGCTCCTTGCTGAATGTGTGCTTTTATGCCATTTGAAATGTCTTCAGGAGTAGTCGGTATTATTCTAGTTCATGTTAGAATATTCACCTTTTAGTATTTTGACTGTGTTGAATTTTTTTTTATGGTTTTGGCACTGGTAAGAAGACTTCTACCTCAAAATTTCTACCTCTTGGAATTACTGGCTAGCTCTGTCAGAGGCGTATGTAACTTTAGAAGTCATGGAGCATTCTGAAATTGTTCCCCTTCTCAGTAAGGATAAACACATAAGACAAGTCATTCTTACTGAATGAAAGAGCTCCTTAATTGATCTATATGTGTTTTAAATACCTTGTACATCACCACTGGGCTATGTACTTAAGGATCGATAAGATTATGTTGATACTCTTGCTGACCTAGGTTTATTCAACATTAATGCAAAACATATTGATTAAGCATCTGTTATGTATAGGCACATGGTTAAATACTGAGATGGGCCCTGCCCTAATAAGCATTTTGTAATTTATAGAAATAGGTGTCTCTGAACTAACATGAAGAAGACAGAACACTAAATCAGCACCAGAAGATGTACTTACCCACTCATGCCAACTCAACCTCCCCCTTGCTGTGTAACCCCGGCCTGACCATTTAACCTCTCTGAAACTTTTCTCATCTGTAAAATGGAAATATTACTGATAACTGGCTGGTTGTGAGGATCAACTGAAGGAAATGTGTTCTGAAACATATTGCAAAATGCAGCATGAGATAAAGAGTAACATAACATTATTAAATATAGCAATTAACTAATGAACCCATCCTTGTTCTTCAAATAATGGTAACTTCAAAAGTTGATGACTGATAAGGCCTAAACAACATGCAAGTATTTCCAAAGATTTCAATGCAATGATGTAAGTGATATAATTTCTCTATTTTTTCTTCACAGGAATCTGCAGCTTATAAAGCTGTGAATGCCCTTCAATCGGTAAATGGGGTACGGTATAGATATGGACCTGCCTCCAGCACATTGTGTAAGTTTCCTGTGTTTGTTATATTAGAGTCGTTTCTTGAACCAATATCCTGTATAATGACTTCCCTTTTAAAAAAGGGAAAGTGTGTCCCCCACTAAAGTGATTTTTGACTACCAAATTAGCCAAGGAAGATGGAGTTTATATCTGATTATTTTTACACTGCATGACAGAAATCACTGTATCAATTTAAATAAATTTGAAGCAGAGAGTATTCTAGTTATGTAGTAATGACTATAAAGTTGAATTGAGATCTTCTGGCAGTAGAAAGTACCAAAATAGTCTCCTTAAGCAATTCTAACTACTATAAGCCTGGAAATAGGCCTTGAGGAAATCATGAAGTAATGTTTCAGCCTGAAAAGAGCTTCCCTTTTATTCCTTTCCTCCACCATTCTTGTTATGAAATTCCATTTCTTACATAACATCTTTAGCTGAATTTCCCCTTAAAAGGTGATTGAAATATTTCTTATATAAAGTAAGTATTTTAATCAAGAACAGTTAAGTATATGGTAAGAACTTGGGCAAAGAATCAGGAGACATGGATTCTAGTCCTAATTCTGCCAATAGTCAGGGTATAATCCTGGCCAAGATATTAATCCTGGGCTCTAGTATCCACAACTGTTGAATGAGAAATCAGACTAAACCATGTCCCACAGCCTTTCAATCACCTAAATCCTAAATATCTGAATGTTTATGTATGCATGTTAAGTTATATACGCACACACACAGGTCATATGTATATGCACAGATAGTGATACTCAATTATGCTTTATAGTGAGGCAGCAAATTTCTCCTGATGTCTTTCATGTACCCACTTTCATTCACTTTCTTCAGCCCTCAGAAGAAGAGTTTGGTTTGTCAATTAACACTACTTATCAAATAAGTTTATCTTAACAATGAGAATGTCCTAAGTATCAGAACTTTTTTCAAACTCCGTAATCACTGGTCTCAGGGTGACCTTTCTAGGACTACTTTTCAATAAAGCCACGATGAATGGGGAAATAGAGTATTTTAAAAAATCGCATTACAGACTTCTAGTCAAGATGGCGGAGTTGGTAAACAATATGCTTACCTCCTCTCACGACCACATCAAATTACAACTAAACAGAACAACCACCCTTGAGAACAACCTGAAGACTAGCTGAAGAGAAGTTCTATAACTAAGGATATAAAAAGAAGCTACTTGGAGACTGGTAGGAGGGGTGAAGATACAAGATGAGGTGCTCCTACACCCAAGTGTGAAGGTTACAAATCAGGAGGCATATCATGGCTGCAGAAGCCACCCCTGGGGGTGAGGGGCCCCAGCCCACATTGTAATCCCAAGCCCAGAACACCTGTGCCAAGAAGAGGAGTCCCCACAACATATGGCTGTGAAAATCAGCGCGGACCTACCTGTCCAGGTGAGACAGAGAGCTGTTGCACGCCCATACATCTCTTAAAGAGCCCAACCACAGACTCATTCACAAATACTCACAAACAGGGAAGGGACAGCAGTTGAAAAAACACCAGGGACTTATGGGGAGGATATGAATTGACAGGGTAAGGGCTGGAGGGGCAGCTCTCTCCAAGGACAGAAGTCCTGGCAGGTGCCATTGTTCCGTTGCTGAGCCCTGCTACAGCTCAGTCTGTATGAACAAGCAGGCGACAAACCTGAGTGTCTATCAGCCTGGCTAATACCACTTACCCCTGGTAATTCCCTGAAACCCCGACCACCCAAGTCTCACAATAGTCCAAACCACTTCCAGCAGCTGTTTCACACAAGCAGCCAGACTTGGACCATGCTGCAGACTTTACTAAAATCTCTCAAAGATCAACAAACACAAAACAAGCAGTGATGGCCTCAGCAAGTTCTGTGCCTATTGTTACGTGGCCCCAAGCCCACCACTAGTGGCATCTGGCCTCAATTTACAGCATAGCCTCTCCCAGGCACCTCCAAGCCTAGCACAGACAGCTAGCAGTTGCAGATCACCTGAATAGATATTAAACCAAAGAAGACATGCATAGACATATGGAAAAATTCTCAACATCACTAATCATCATAGAAATGCAAAATAAAACCAAAATGGGATATCATCTCACACCTGTCAGAAAGGCTGTCCTCAATAAATCAACAAACAAGTGCTGGCAAGAATGTGGAGAAGTGAGGACCCTTCTGCACTGTTGATGGGATTGTAAACTGGTGCAGCCACTACAGAAAACAGTATGGAAATTCCTCAAAAGTTGTAAATTGGAACTACCATATGACTCAGCAATTCCTCTTCAAGGTATTATCCAAAGAAATGTAAAACACTAATTTGAAAAGATATATGCATTCCAATGTTCTTTGCCACATTATTTACAATAGCAAAGATATGGAAGCAACCTAAGTATCCATCAATAGATGGTTAGATAAAGAAGAGGTGAGACACACACACATGTGTACATACATATAATGGAATATTACTCAGCCATAAAAAAGGAATGCAATCTTGCCATTTACAACAACATGGATGGACTTAGTGGATATTATGCTAAGTGAAATAAGTTGGACAAAGAAAGACAAATACAAATGATTTTACTTATATATGGAATCTAAAAGATAAAACAAACAAACAAAATAGAAACTAACTCATAGATACAGAGAACAAACAGATGGTTGTCAGATGGTAGAGGGTTTGGGGACTGAGTGTAAAAGGAGAAGCGTTTAAGAAGTACTAATTCTCACTTACAAAATAGACACAAGGATGTGAAGTACAGCATAGAGAATATAGTCAATAATATTGTAATAATATTGTTATGGTTTCAGATGGGCATTAGACTTATCAGAGCGGATCTCTTCATAAGGTATATAAATGTCTAATCACTACGCTGTAAACCTGAAACTAATATACTATTGAATATCAACTGTAATTGAAAATATTTAAATAATGAAAAAAATCACATTACCAATTAATACCCATCATATTAAGAATTCTAAGACATTAATTTTTAAAAATCTTATACTTCACCTTTGCAGCTTGATATCAAGGCACAGTCATAGTATGGTATTTACCAAGAAGAACATATTACCATAGAAATGAGGCTGTCACATTACAATGAAATAACTGTTAGCACACATTGTCTCTGACTTTGGCTACTATGACTACTATTTGTAGTGCCAGTGTACTTTAACCCAGAGGGACAATGAAGCCACAACCCACCTTCTGTCCTTAATGGAAGCAAAGGGAGCCTGAGAAACAGCAGAGTCATATATATAATTGTCATCTTCACATAATAATTCTATCTCTAACTTGTCCTGGCAAAAATGGTATTATTTGAGTAGATGAATATGCTCTGAAAATTTTTAAATAATAGTGTTTTTCAGGCTAACTCATAAATTTCAGAAAAGTATACAAGGATTCTTCTATGCAAGATGTAATCATTTATTTAAAAATTATTAAGAGCATGTTAGGCTAAAAACTACAAACTAGGTACTTAGGGATATAAAGATGCAAAATAATAACAGTTAGTATAAGCTAAGCATATTATTTAATTTTCACAACCCTATTCCATAGATATTATCATCCCTCTTGCAAGAGTAGCCACAGAGCAGCCACAGGTGGTGGGATCAGATACAGCCCAAGCCCACAGTCCACCTCTATTGCCTGTACTTTCACCTCTGCTGAGAAGCTGGAGTATGTGAAGTCACTGGAGCCAGAAGGAGAGAGCGGTCAGGAAGGATTGTCGACTAGGTTAAATGCTATTGAGATGTTGCAAATGGATCTAGGGGAGAAAGAGGAAGAAATTGGGCCTGCTGTCATTGGTGACCTTCCAGAACATAGACAGGTAGGAGCAAGAACCAGACTGAAAGTGACTGAGAATGTAGAAGGAACTATATATATTGATTCTCTTTTAGTTCTAAAACAACAGGAAGAAGAAAAAGAGGATGGCATATAGAGGGATGATAAAACGGAAGTGCTGTAAAAAAGTGGTACTTGAGCATTTTGGTCAATGAAACTGCAAGATGGGGGGGAGTGGTTATTTAATGAAACAAAGGCCTGGAGAAGGGACCCCCCTACCAGCAAAGCAGACAGTAACAAATGGTATCAAAAGACGACACATGTAAAAGATGAGCAACATTTCTTCCTCTGAACTAAAGGAGAGAAGTCAGGGGGCTATGATGTCAATAGAGGAGGTGATGAGCTAATTGCCCTTTATGAGTATGAGGACAGTGAGAAAGTGAGGGACAGGACTAGAAGAGAATGAGAAAAGTTCTGTAAGTAAAGGTCTAGAAAACAGAGCCTGGAGCAGCATTGGGAAGTGAAAAAGACTTTATATGACTGATGTGAATTTATAGCAAAGACTTTCTCCAGCTACCTCACAAGGAATGAAAGCAGAGAAACTGGGCCAGGAATTGAGAACTAGCAAAACCAAGGCAGAGAAAAGAATGGATGAGTGTTATTAGGGGGTCTGGTGAGAAATTTAGTAAAGTAATTGACCATGGCCAGGTAGAAAGAAAATGAAATCATAAAGCTGAGAAGAGTCTATGAACTACAAAGTTAAGCAAAGGCAAAGAATAAGTTCATTAGGAATAAAAAAAAAATAGGGGACGTACAGGAAATGAGGAGGATTTTAGGGGAACAGAATTTCAATATTCTAGACCTTGGAAGTGAAGAAAAACTGAGTGACAGGAGGAAGAAAAGTCCACAGCATGCGTTTGGTTATGTGTGAATAAAGTGCAGGTGAAGATAAATGTTATTGGAGTTGAAGCTGAGAAATTTGGAGGTCATTATACTGGAAAAGCATCAATACTTAGACTAGATTCTCGAGGATGATGGCAGATACGATTTATAAGGTCTATGAACTCTATGCCAATGAACTACTGTTAAATCATTCTTGTTGAAAAGGTGTTTATTGAAAGAATTTAGTATAGCTTAATAATATTTACATTTTTGAAAATTATACAGACTCTTTGATGACACTGATTTTTGTTCTTTTAACTTCTAGATGTGAGTTCTGGTAGCTCAATGGATTGGGCCTACAAAAATGGAATACCCTACACATTTGCCTTTGAACTACGTGACACTGGGCATTTTGGGTTTTTACTCCCAGAGGTGCTCATCAAACCCACCTGTACAGAGACCATGCTCGCTGTGAAGAACATCACGATGCACCTACTCAGGAAGTGTCCCTGATAGGGCCTGAGGGTCGGGTCAGCCACCAGAGGAAGTGCTGATTTTGCACAAGAGCTACTTGACAATGGATGAAAATTGTTTTAAAGAGAGGGACAGCTCCTTGGAGTGAACTTATCTCTGGACTTTTAAAGGAATTTCTCATGCAATCCAACTCTGTGGCAATTTAAAAAAATGGTAAAAATAAATAAATAAATAAGAGCATAGTCTAGTTCGTTGCAAGCAAAAGCATTTATTTTATATTCCTTTAGAGTCTCATTTGATTAAGGTGGGGGATATTTTCAACTTATTTTGTCTCACGAAATATACAAATTAAGAATGTCACTTCAATAAATCACCTATTCTCAATTAAGATCCACCTATCAATGATGTTTAATCACCTGGCTCTTTTGAAATGGCAAGAACTATATTCCTTAATAAATAAAAAAATTTCACGACCTTGGAGTATTCACAGCTTTATCCCCTGGCAGTAGTATACCATATGCCTATAAAAGTGTAGCAAGACAGAGCACTTATGTTTATATTCTGAGAATACCACCTTTTTTAATTATATTTTATTGATTATGCTATTACAGTTGTCTTTATTTTTCCTCCTTTGCCCCCATTTTCTCAGCACCCACCACTCCCTGAGGCAATCTCCCTACCCTTGTTCAGGTCCACAGGTCATGCATGTAAGTTCTTTGACTATCCCCTTTCCTATACTGTACTTTACATCACCGTGGCTACTCTGTAGCTACCTATTTGTACTTCTTAATCCCCTCACCTCTCCCCCATTCTCCCACACCCACAGTCCCATCTCTTTATCTTTAAACTTTGGCATTAAATTAGGATGTGTCTTGGGGTGGGTCTCTTTGTATCTATCTTGTTTGGGACTCTCTGTGCTTCCTGGACCTGCATGACTATTTCCTTCACCAAATTAGGAAAGTTTTCTTTCATTATTTTTTCAAATAGATTTCCAATTTCTTACTCTTTCTCTTTCTCTCATCCTGGTACCCCAATGAAGTGAATGTTGGATTGCTTAAAGTTGTCACAGAGGCTGCTCACACTATCCTCGTTTTCTTAGATTCTTTTTTCTTACTGTTGTTCTGATTGGTTGCTTTTTGCTTCCTTATCTTCCTAATTATTGACTTGATTCTCAGCTTCATCCGCTTTACTATTGTTTCCCTATAAATAGTACTTTATTTCAATTAGCATATCCTTTGCTTCTGACTGGATCTTTTTCATGCTGTTAAAGTCCTCACTAAATCCCTTCAGCATCCTTATAAACAGTATTTTGAACTCTGCCTCTGATAGATTGCTTATCTCCATTTTGTTTAGCTCTTTTTCAGGAGTTTTGGTCTGTTCTTTCATTTGGGCCACGTTTCTTTGTCTGCTCATTTTGGCAGCCTCCCTTAGTTTCTCTATTAGGTAGAGCTGCTTTGACTCTGTGTCTTGGTAGTGTGGCCTACTGTAGAAGATGTCCTGTACAGTCCAGTGGCACAGCCTCCCCTATCACCCAAGCTGGGTTCTGGAGGTGCGCCCTTGATGTGGGCTGCGTATACCCTCCTCTTGTCGTTGAGCCTTGGTTGCTGTTGACACATCAATGGGAGAGATTTACCCAGGCCATTAGCTGCTTCCTGGACCTGCATGACTATTTCCTTCACCAAATTAAGGAAGTTTTTGCTGTGATCACTGACCACTAACTTCCACCCTCCAGGGAGGTTCAACTGTGCAGGGGCAGGGTAGTGGTGGTCCAATGTGATCTATAGCTGTCCACTGGGTACACTGGTCCCTGGGGTTTCCTAGGTGGCGCAGGTCAAGATCAGCCCCCACCGGTGTTTTGCCCAGGGCCACCCTGCCTGAGTTATAAAACAATCTGAGATGGCTGTTACTTGTGCTGGCCTTGGAGATTTCCCGGGGAAGCCGAACTGTGAATCTAGGCAGCTAGTTCCTGGCCTGGGGCTCACTGAGCCCAGCTGCCTGCTTGTTTGAGAGGATTTAGGAAGTTGTAAAGCATGAGCCAATACCATTCACCTGGAAAAGCAGCTTGGGTGGGCCCATAAATTGGTAAGGTAGAGTCCCTGGGAATCTCTAAGGCAGGTCAAACAGTGTTAGCCAGGTTGATGGAACCTTAGATATGGCACCAGTCTGCAGGCTCTGCGGGAGAGGGCTCAGAAAAGGGACAACGGCCTCTGCTCACCTTGATGCCAGACACCTCAGCCTCCCCCTGGTGCCTGTCAAGCCTCCACACTGTCACCAGAGCCCAGAAGGAGTGAGTCTGAGTAGGTGAGTCCATGTGTGGGTTCTTTCAGAGGAATTGCTTGAGGCTCCAGCAGTTTCTTCAACAGACTCAACCCCTGCTGGGTTTTGCAGCCAGAAGTTGTGGGGACTTATCTTCCTGATACTGCAACCCTGGGCTAAGGGTCCTGGTGTGGGGCTGGGACTCCTCACTCCCGAGATACTCCTCCTGAATGTCTATCCACCACACATGGATGTGAGACCAGCGTGTTCTGCATCTGCGCCCTCCTACCAGTCTGGATGAATGTGATTTTTTTAATTCCGTAGTTGTCAGACTTCCATTCAACTTGATTTCTGTCAGTTCTGAGTGATGGTTGTTCTATAGTTTAGTTGTAATTTTGTTGTGGTTGTGCAAAGGTGAGCCATGTCTGCCTACACCACCATCTTGACAGGAAGAGAAAAAAATACCACTTTTAAAATAGGAGAAAACATGAATTGAAGTGCCAGACACAGCATTAAGAGCTTTACATAATAATCCCACATTATTCCTCAAATACTATGAAGTAGATACTACTATTACCTTCATTTTTCAAATGAGAAGATTGAGGCTTTGAAAGGCAAGTTATCTATCTGGACTGCCGGAAATAAATAAAACTTCTAGACAAAATGTAATTTTTTAGACTATCTTCAATACTGCAGACAAAAAAGGAAGGGAATCTCAGGCCAGGCATTGAGTAAAGGCAGGAACCTAGAAAGCTAAGTGGTGCACCATTATTCTGAGAGCATTTGTCACGCCAGGCAAGTACAGACTGATTTTTCACAGCTTTTTAGAGAATGAGAGCAGAGAAAAAAGCCCAAGGCTCCTCCAATGTGGAAAGTCTAATAGCAGATTCTTCTACAATAATTCTGGGAATTCCAAGGGTAAATTACAAATAACCCCGATACTACATCCAATGGACCACACGGAAAATAAACAATTTCAAATTTGGCAAGAGTCAAGAGGGGGAAGATCACCACTGAGAATCTGGAACCACATGTCAACCCTCAGCCGGATTTGTGGCCCAAATTCAGCCTACAGGTATACCCCACTTTTCAAAAGTTCACTTTATACCATGTGGCTTTTACAAAAGACCTACGTTAGTACCCATTTTCACGAACCAAAAGAAATCTGAAGAGGATTTTTTAAAAAAACGAAAAGTGAAAAAGTAGCATTTCACATTGTTTTGCATCGGGAGCAGCCCCAGCCAAGCTCCTTCCCAAGAATCCACACTCAGCCTCTCAGCATCAAGCCACCAGACCTCTGAACTGTGTCTGTGATTATCGGGGTTGCATCTCGATTTATTTTGTGCATCCATTAGCAAGACGTGTCCTGAGGAAATTGCTTCTTTCTTAATGCCATTTCAGCTTTCGAAAGGTTGCATAGAAACAAGCTACTTTTGGGTAGCAGGGGAATCCTATACCTGAATGGTCTGATAAACCTCTAACCAAGAATTTAATTCAGATTAATCCCAGACTGGTTATATCCTCCAAGTATTTGGTAGAAGCAAATAACAAATCCTCTCAAATGATTTATTTGATGTATCATGAACACCAGGATAAAGAGAAAAGCTTAAAAACGTCCAGAGAGGGGGAAAAAATGATCACAAAGGAATGAAGACTAGAGTAGCATGAAACTTCTCAATAGCACCACTGAAGCTTGAAGACCATGGAGGAATGCATTAGAGTTTTGAGGACATTTTCTGTCCTAAAAAATCTACATTTTTAGGGTAGAATATTTTTTATAAAATGTCAGGGTAGAATATTTTTTATAAAATTGAGGTCCTAAATGATATACCTTTCTCAGGAAACTTGCAAAGAATATGTTCTACCAAAATGAGGGAGTAAATTGAGAAAGATGTAGGATCTCAGAAAACAGGAAATCCAACATAGGAGAAAGGCATGGAAAAAAAAAAATCTAAAGATAATGGTGAAGGGAAAAGTCCCAGTAATAACTGTATGTCAGGCTCAGAGAAAACCACCTTGAAACAGGAGGAGGAGAACTGAAGACTTCAGATGAAATTCTCCAAGATGAATATGAAACAGAACACAAACATGTTCAGAGGCATTTTTAACTTATAGCAGAGAGTTTGGGGATGAACTAGTAATAAAAGCACAGAAACACAGGAAACAATAAACACAGGAAACAACAAATACATATAATTGTTAACTCTGGTAAAAAACAATGAGTAATACAAGGGAGAAATATAATCATAATATACCACGTGACTTAGCTATAAGTAGTATTTATATATTAGAGTTAAATAATGTTAGCCCTAAATATTAATTTAACCAAAAACTGTGATATAAATATATTAGAAGGACAGGAAAAGGTAAATATGTGTGAGGAGAGGAGGTATAGGAGGGCTAAATCCTCATCTACTGTTGCAGGAATTCCATAGACAACATCTAAAACTGAAAAAACAATCAAGAAATAGCAGCATTTGGATTTAATTTAGAAATAAGAAGGCAAATACTAAAAGAAATAATTTAAGAGATTATGAATTATTGAACTAATGAAAGGGAATTGGGAGTAAGGAATAATGGAGAAGAGGGCTGCTGTTCTAACACAAGCCTTGTCATAATATTTGACTGGTTTTATTTTTTTTTAATCATACAGAGAGCATACTCCCCTTAAAGGAAGATCGTTTTGTAAAATGAATTCCCAACAACTCACCGCCCACTCTTTTTGATGTTTATGAAATGTACATTGTTTCAATTTTAAAAATCAAAATTAAATATAAAAATAG